TTTATGGTAACATGGATATTTAAAAAAACTACATTACTAACGTTTTATATTGGAAATACATTGTTTTACATTCTATGAGTTTCAGAACCATATTAATCAAGAAATAACAATCCATTAAATACAACTATAATGCAGAAAAGAAAGAAGTATTTGGCACAAGCCGTAACTTTTTCACAAAAGTCAGAAAAGGTCTACCACATTGAACTATAAAACTTTCTGCCTCGCGAAAAATCCTAAATCATCCTGCCCACGCTGGTCAGAAATAAAAAAAGATCTAAACTAGGATTCTGAATTAGGTTTTTTACTCCGTACGCAGATGTTAAAAATATAATAAGAGTGTAAATATCGAACTGAGAAAGGACTAGGATTTTATATTTTGAAATTTGGTAACCCATAGGTAAACAGCTTCGAGTCGTTGCGATCACCACCGATTTTATAAATGTAAAAATAAGCCTGGATTAGGCCTACCCTGAGTAGTCATGCAGATTTAAAATATTAAGTAAGATTTCTGCCTCGTGCATTCTCCCGCTTTTTAATCGACAGCTTTTAATATGAACTCAAATATGAGAAAAACGGACATTCGTATTATGTTGTTTAATCCCATCTATATATATTTTTATCGTTATATCAATTACAACATAATTATTTTAATGTAAACCAAATCAAACGATATCAGAAATTCATGAGTTTTAATAAAAATAATTTAATTATGATAGTTTTCGAAGAAAATTGACCAAAACGCCAGAAAATAGAAAATATAACTAACAATTTGTTACTTAATTTTAGTCTTGATAACGCGATACCTTCTTTGGCCTTACGGAGAGCCTTAAAGTGATCGTATTTCGTCTTGACAAACAGAATCCCATTTTTCATCAAGAACGGTTTGAATTTGTTCAATGCTTGTTAAAGGTGATGAAATGTGTCTAAACCCTCACCTTATTACGCTCCATTAGTATTCTTTAGGATTCATGCCAGGAAAACCGTCGACCCAATTTTGATCATAATACATTGTGATCATGTACATCCTCCAAGTAATGGATGATAACTAGATAACTACATACGGTCGCGCATTATCGTCTATTAACACGAAGTTGTCCCCGAATAAATGGAGCGAATGGAACAACAGCTTCCAGAAGAACTTCCTCAATGTACCTCAGTGCTTTCAAAGAGCCATTCCGTATGGTAATCGGTTCGGTACATATACATTGGTTTCACCTCATACCATAAATAACTTCGAAAAGCTGTGACTCGTGTAGGCACATAAAGCAAAGCATTCGCTATCTCTTCTCCACAAACGGTCTTCCGATTTCTACAACCAAACCGACACCCGCTGTGAAGAACATCCCTCCATTGTTCAAGTATCTATACAAGATTGGAGAGGCACCGAGTAGAAAGGCAGCTATTCGCAAATCTGCATCTCGTATATCGTTGGACACTTGAACAATGGAGGGATGTTCTGCACAACGGGTGACGGTTTGGTTGTGGAAATCCTCAGAAGGCTTCACGAGAATAGCCTAGTTCCTGTAGGTTCACCGACACCCATTTGTCAAGAACATCCCTCCATTGTTCAAGTGTTCATACGAGATGCTGATTAGCGAATAGCTGCCTTTCTACTCGATGCCTCTCCAATAATAGAGGATCTGCTCCGGAACATACTGAAATTAGACTATTTCCGCGAATCCTTCCGATGACTTAGAACTCATTCTTATGTTCGGACTGTTTGGAGTTGACTACCAACCAACCTTCTCGTCAAACGAAACTTCCGGTGGCCCTAAACCGCGCATCTAAGAGTTGGGCTATGTAAAGCCTTGCTTTCACGACGTGTGGTCAAAAGTTTGTCACACCTCACACCGTTGAAACGGAAAGACAAGTTTTTGCTCGCGCTGGCTCGGCCTTGCGGTCGTAATAAGTCATATCTCAAGTTTGTGACTCGTCATCGCCATGAGAAGAAGTTCGCGGATATAGACTTGGCAAAGCATCTGTCCAGGAGAGAATTTCTCGACTTAAAATCATACTTTTAATCAATTTTTTTAAACTCAAATATTATATTTAATCAAAGAAAACAATTTAACAAAACCAATCAATTCACTCGACAAGTCGGCTCTGGAAAGGATGAAATTTTACGGACTTATTTTAATATCAAGAGTGTAAAATAAATATTTACAAAGTAAATACCAAGTTATTTTTGTTTTATTTACATTTTAAGTCAAGTATTAATCTTTACACCTAGATCTCATGGAAAGTATATATTAATATATATATATATACTGTACTTTGAGTATACATAACGTTGATCGAATATTTCGATGTTTCTTTACTAAGGAACTTGAAGGCAACACTGACAGTAACAGTAAATTTTATTGATGTCGCAACAAAACCTGTTCTATTGAAATCAAAAAGCGACTTTGACACATCTGTAATAAACATGAACAATTAGATAAACAATTTCACTTGAATCCCCCAGGAGAAACAATAAACATGACATAGAGACGTTGTTGAAAGTTAGCAATTATCGTAATTAATAATGATAAAACAATGCGAAATATATTAGAAACTGTTGGCCCATACGGTAGATTAGTCCATTCAGCTGTAAGTAATCACGCCTGATCCACCCCAATTTGCGTAACTGGTAGTCCACTGGGCATGTATTTGAATTAATACGTATATATATGAACATATTTTACATTAAATATACGATAATTATGGCATGAAAATTGGAAAAATAAAAGTATAGGTGAAAACACCGTTTTGTTTTTCATTAGAGAGCAAAATTTACAGCACCAGCTTAAAACCTTGTTGTTTGAGTAATACACTGATGTACAAATTTAACGCACTACTCAATTTATTTAATTTAAAATTAAATCCATTATCTTTGTACATTACTTACAGGTAATTAGGAGCTATTGTAGTCAAAATAAACAGAAAATAATGCTTTGTTTACTTTCTGTGTTTACTTCTGTACTGCTTTATCCAATTTGCACAAAAAGGAGCATTATGCCCTTTCGTTCTGCTAGGCTTAAAGATCGCTTTAAGTTAATTTTTTTCCTTATTTGATTTCATTTGATTCTTATTCTTAAATCTTTTTCAATGGCTTCAGTAAGACAGTGTCAGGGTCATGACATTACTAGAGGAAGGAAGGCCATGTGCCACGTGCGCACGTTAAAGAACCTCAGTGTCCTTCTGATGACATTGCGACCCCCAATGGGAAACATATATAATCTACAAAACCGTTTGATTTTATTTGATATTATTCTTATTCTGAAATCTTTTTCAATGGCTTCAGTAAAGCTGGGAACACACTTACCCGATGCTATGCCAGGCGACGCTACCCGACGCCTTGCCACGTTTTGGTGGGGTGTGCACATCTATCCGAAGCAAGCACACGTCGCGTACAGTCCACAGCGTTTATCACAATAATCAATATCACAATCGAAACGCATCTTTTGTTCATAATGCACTATTTTGAACAAAACCTTGTAATAAATTGTTAGTTAAATTTTATGAACACAACCATCTAATAAATTGTTTGTTAAACTTAATTGTTTTAAATATAGTTACTCCTAACCATTATAATTAAACAATGTTCATAAACACTTACGAATTTTTTATCTCGTTTAATTTGGTTTACATTAAAATAGGAAGTTGTAATTGAAATAACGACATTAATGCATGTAGTTTGAATAAAAATATGAGTGTCCGCTTCTTTTGTCTTCGACTGTACTCGATGCGACCCGACGAAAATCTGGACAGTGGGGATCGCAGAGCATCGGGTAAGTTAGCGTGGCATAGCATCGGGTAGATGTGCACGGGGGTAATACAATCTTATAGAAAATCGGAGTTTGGATTTGCGTCGGGTAGCATCGGGTAGATGTGCACGGGGGTAATGCAACCTTATGGAAAATCGGAGTTTGGATTTGCGTCGGGTAGCATCGGGTATCGTCGCATGGCGTAGCATCGGGTAAGTGTGTTCCCGGCTTAAGGTATTTGAGTGAGTATGACAGTATCGGTGACATCACATTATTCGAAGAAGGATACAGCCAGTCGTCATGAGACTGAGTGTAAATTACTCTACAATAAGAAGGGTTTTTCGGGGTTTCAGAGAAAGAGGGCATGACACTGGAAAGTCAGGGCAGAGTCAACCTGGGTCTGCAGATAAGAAAGATGATAGATTCATCCATCATCAGGCTCTACGAAACCGCAGCATTATGCAAAATGAGATAAGCAATTGATAAGACAAGTCCGAAATGTTTCCATTTCCTCCAGGAGCCTGAAAAAGATTCAATGAAACTCAGGGCCCGGAACCAGCTCCTGGACCTCTTTTTACAACATCTCAGAAAGATGTTCGGGTTTTTAGTTCGCACGGGAACGAGTTCTCTTTATAGATATGGTGAGAGTTGGCCACATACCGCTGGAAGCTTATTGAGTGTGGAACTATTGAGCGGATTTTGCAAAGCTCCAGGAGTTTGTAGTTATTAACGGTTACAAATCCAACATTAAAAAAAATCCTAATTTCAACATTTTTCTAAATTTTTCGTGCAGAATTTTTCATCAATTCTGCAATGTAAACAGGTTTCCTTCCAGCCAATTTAACGTTCTTTCAGGTGGCACAAACCGGATTTTTTTACAATCAGTGTGTGTGTGTGAGAGAGAGAGAGATGTATACATATAATGTACATGTATCTGCATATATGTACATAATGTGTGGCATTTAGTGACCGTTAGCCGATGATTATTCAATGATTTTTCACATCCTACTTGTATTTGTAAAATTTAAACAATGTTTATAAATCCCAGGCCCTGAAGATGATCTCAATAAAGATCGAAACGTTGGCACGATAAAGAAAATATTTTTCTAAAACTTACGCCACACCAGACCGCATCTCCCTATCTCTATATAATTATGTACATAATTTTGAACGAAACATTCATAATATATAATTTTTTGTCAAATAATAAAATAAAAACAAATTAGACTAATTTATTTTTCTTTTCTGTTTCAGAATCTGGAAGTAAAAATGTAAGTAAACTTTTTAACTCTACACAGTTTACCCCATGTCAAAATACCATTAGGGACAAAGAGAAAGGAATATTTTAATCTTAACCCCGTGCCTGGAAGATCCGGTTCCGAGAACAAGAATCGTCGATCGAGGAAGCTCCTTTCCAGACGATTTATTTCCACGGAAGAATGCCATCGAATTCCTTCCAAATAGAACTAATAAAACCTTCAATCCTGTCTTTTATTTTATCTGAAAGTGTTTTTTTATTCGACCCTTGCTGGAAGAAACAAAGAATCGCTGAAGAACAGACGACAAGGGTCATTCTTAATTTGTATTGTTCAAATCACGTTGTCGCCCTGGAATAAAATCTCTTACATGTGATCGACCAGTCTTTACTCTTATTGACAAGCATTGTCTATCCTTTACAGCAGTTCTTCAACTGAGGTTGTGATTGGAATAGATACAGTTTTTTAAATGGCACCACAGAAAATAGCCAGGGAGTTAAATCGCATAACAGTGTAGGCCAACATCCACCTATCCCCCCTGACTCTTATCGCTCTGAACACCCGTGATAATGCAGCTCTTGGCCTTTCAACATCATTACAGTCATACTGATGTAGAAGTGAAGAAGAAAACATGTATCCTCGAAAGCTCGGCGTTGGTACAAAAGCACTATTTGTTTTTCTGACCACAACCATAATCCACTAGACTAGTATAAATTCTTTATTTGTTTTCACTATCCAATCGTTTTAACTGTTTTTTATTCTAATATTACATTTTTTGACATTTTTTTTAAAATAAGATATCGAATTTGTACCTATTTTTGGTAACAAAAGTTGATAAACCAAGGCATTGTTTCCAGAACAACATAAATCATCGCTTAAACAACTCAAGCCGTATAATAATCATGAGCCGAGTAAACTACACCTAAACTACCTTACAATTTAAAAATTTATGTTTATGTTGGCTTGAATAATGTAAAATAATTACATTCACGATCTTTCATTGTCAAAATTAATTAGCAAATAATTGATAGACCGAGAAAAAGAGAAACTTAATACTATAAGAGACAGTCAACTGTCCCGCTGGGGAGTCAATAGATGACAGACCCTCGCCGAAGATGGTGCCTCGGACCATTTCCAACGGTTTCGCCCTTCTAAACTCGAAGGAAATTAAAAAGGACATTGATCAATATTTCGTTGATGTTTCTTAAGATAAAGTTCCGTGTTTTGTCGTTGTTGTTCGATTCTTTGCTTTCCTAGTTTGATGAGAGTTAACAAAATTGCTTGAAAGAATTTTATTTCAAAAATCTTCCATGAGTGTTTGACGTGAGTGAGATGAGGCCCATAGGACACTAGATCGGGCATTGGGTGTCCTCGCCTTCCTGTTTGACCAGGTTCTTGAATATCGCGGTGAGCCACACGACGACGCCGTACGCGCCGGGGTCGACGTCTTGGATGCGCGAGGGATCGACGTAGCACGCTCTGCCCACCCTCGCCTTCATCGTAGCCGTCTTCCCGCAACCTTCGATCGCCTTGTCCAGGGCGAACTTGAGCGATTTGTCCCAGTTCTTTTCGCCGAACTCTTTCGTGCTCGCCTCGAAGGCGAGACAGGCCGGGATGAGCGCGTCGAGCATGGTCCTGTAGCCGAGTTCGGCGATCGAGTACTTTCTCACCATCTCCAGGGCGCCAGTCCACAATGCGGACCAACTGCTCGCGTTCTTGGCCGCTCCTAGGAACATGAGCGAATAGAGGGCTCCGGACGTCCCGCTCATGTACGTCTCAGCGATCTTCGATAAAGTGAGGAAGGTCATTGCCACTTTCGTTACCGGTAGGGTGTTGATCGCCTTTTCGAACCCTTCCGCTAACTGCCTGAGAGCCGTCCCGCAATCCCCGTCTCCTCCTCTTTTGTCTAGCAGGTTCAACTTCTGCTCTTCGTTCCTCAGAGCTCTCGCCACGGCTAGGATTGTACTCTTGAATATGTTGCCTTCTCGTTGATTGAGCTCGAGCCCTTCGAGTTGAGGAAAGTTCCTGTCGATCTCGAGCTGGGTCAGCCTCATGGGGAACCTCTCGTTCAACCGGCTTAGACGGGTGACCGGCCAAGCGAACGCTTCCGTCTCGAGATCTAAGAATTTTATCCAGTCATCTCGACCCGTCACGTTGAGCATGCAAACCTGGACGCCTTTAGTGTCTAGAGAGGAAAGAAATTTCCCGGTGTAAAGTCGTACGATGTTAATCTGAAGAGCGGTCAACTGCCTTTTGAGCTCGGCGGAAAAAGTGAACAGCTCCAGGTCGATACAGGTCCCGAGGTCGTTGATCAAAGCGACAATGCTATCGCCCGGGCGGCCGACGAAGATCTTCAGCATCTGCGCCACTAGAATCCTCACCAATTCCGCGGTCGTGCAAAAGTTGATGAGTGCGAGTCCGGCCTCACCGTGGACGCCGACGCCGATTTCGATCTGGTCGTCGTCGATGGTCCAGAGAGGTTCCGCGGAACATGGCAGGTAGCAAGGCTTGATTGCCAGACCGAATGAGCACATGCGACAGCTGATGCACCTCCCTTCGACGACCAGCTCCTTCAGCAGTCGGCCGGCGGTGGACATGGCACCGAGGATTTTGATCATCAACACCCCACCGCACAACCCTCTACGCCCGACGAAACCTGTTTTGATGTCAGTGTCCATGTGTCCGCTGTCGTCCGCTACCAAAACGGACTCGACCTGAATCCCTTTATTTCTCGCGTTTTCTATGGCCAGCCCGAAATTCAGCATGTCGCCGGTGTAATTAAGTATGATCACCAGGATGCCGCCTTTGTTGAGTTTGGCCAGGTTGGAGAGAGCCGTGACGATGTATCCTGTCGGAGGGGCTGTGAATACGTTCCCGGCGACGTATCCGGTCAACATATTTTCCCCGACAAAACCGGCACCGTAAGGCTCATGGCCGGCACCCGACCCGCTCAGCAACGCGACTCGGTTGTTCCTCTCTCGGTTCAGCATCACGAATTGTGTCTCGATATCGATGAAAAGCCCCGGGTAGACGGCTTTTAGGCCCCGCAAATAATCCATCACCGCAGTCTCCAACGAGTTGACTAGACTTTTAGACATGTTGATCTTACAATAGTTAGATTCACGATTTATACGTGTCCAAAACTAATTTATCCCTGGTCAAACAGCTTCTTACACTCAACACCACAATCGACGCAATTTAGGCCTCACGATTTATCTCCCTTGGTTAAACTTTCAGCATAATTATAATCGTTTGATTTTTAGAATTTTATCGACTTTGAAACCTTAGGAAACTAAGAATAGCAAAGAAATGTAGAAACATATGGTTTTTCGAAATTTCTTAACTAGCCTTTCATGATTTTCAATATATAATTTTTGTAGAACTATAAATAAAACAAGGTGTAACTTCTCTGTCTAGTACTTTTCTTAAAGTCCAGAATGTTTATAGCGTTATAGCTTCCAATGTTTTATACAATCCTATCGTTGTGACATGCTAAAATTACCAAGCCATGGAAAAAATGTACAAATTATAGAAGTATCCTTTAATAGTTGCTTCACCTTTAAAAATAATAAAAAATAACGTAGAAAATACATGTGTAAAATGAAATTGAAAGGACAAACATGGAGATCCCGACTAAACCTGCAAACTTATAAGGATAAATGTATGTAATATTAGCAACACAAGACAAGCGTAAAGCGTGATCTCAGAAGGTTGATCTTTTAGCTGACAGTAAGGCAGCCGTGGAAGCACTGGTTTTTGACTTAAAACTAACCCGGAGCATCTTAAACTTTCCCAGATTTTCAAGAGATCGTATTCCTCCGGAGGCCAAATCAAGTTATCAAAAAGTTTCCAAATGGACGAGTTTATTAAGCAGGTGAAGCTATATTTTAGAAAAAGGCATAGATTAATACAATAATTAATACTTCATTGATGGAACGGTCTTTTTGAAAATGAAATGATGATTTCAAGGCCCTTCGGATTTTCAAAACTGGGATTTTTATCGAAACATATTACGTTGATGCTGGCATATTAAAAGTTGTATTCTACGGACTTTAAACAAGTGGCTGAGCAGGGCTACGAACTAGTCCATATCTCCCTATCCCCGTTTATCTATTTAAGTAGGAAGGGCTGTACTGCGCAGAGAGCAACACAATTGTGCGATAAGCATTATGCGTGTAGATTTAATGAGTTCATCATAAAGATACCTCGTGTACGCTATATCACTATCTTAATCTTAACTCCCCTGGTGGTGGGATGAGGGTTGATAATAATAGCGAAAAATATTTTTATAAACAATAATTATATGTATTTTTGTATTTATTACTTGTTTGAGCTTATGGTGGAGGTATTATTTTATTTCTTTAATAAACCACCTGGTATATATATTATGCAGGGAGGGCGACCAAGACCCGAGGGGTTAAATGCCTGGATAGACTCGTACCCCATCCCTAAAGGGTCCGGTCTTGGTCGGCTCACGTGTCCTGCATAAACCTCTTGGACCTGTTCACAAACCCCAAGATTTTGGACCATTTAATCTCGGGGAGTGATTTGGAGAAGTCCTCTCCTTCAAAGATTTCAAATCTAGACCTAGCATACCTATCACACTCTGCGAGGTAGTGTCTTGCCGTTTCCCCTTTTGTTTTGCAAAAACGGCAAAAGGGATTTGGTAGAATACCCATTACGGAGAGGTGTCTTCTCAGTGGGCAGTGGCCCGTCAGGGTACCTATCAGCCTCGTAATTCCCTTCCTTGAGTTAGAGAATAGCCATTTCGATTCTGCTGGTTTGATCGCCGTAACAAACTCTTCCGATTGCCTGTGTCCGGGGGATAAATTCCACTCCCTAAGGAATTGTTTCATGCCCCAGTTGTCGATACTCTCTTTCGCTTCATAGAGTGTGGTAATACCGGTTGTGGCCCGAAAAACGCAGTATTAGAACCTTCTTGGCCAGGCTATCCGCCTTTTCATTGCCTTGGTGTCCTTTATGTGCTCGATCCAAATAAGGGTTACCTTTTTCTCAACTCTGGAAGAGATCCTTTTGATAAGATCTACAGTTTCCTCCACCAGTCGTGAGGCTGACAAATCTTTTTGTAGTAACCTAAGACTAGCCTGACTGTCAGAAAAAATTCTAATATCTTTTCCCTTAATTTTATTTTCCATAAGTTCCACACACATTAATAGCCCAGATTCTCTTCTCATTTACCTTTCAAAAATAAAAGGCTGCTGTACAACACCATAGCTCAGCGATATGGACTTAGGGACTGGAAGTGTGGGATTCAGCCTTGCATTCCAACATCCGCCGTGTTCGAACTGCCCAATCCTTAATCCCACGAAAAAACTAGATGCTCTATTTTTATACTATCGAACCTAACTACACGTACGTATTCCTTTCGTTCAAGATGAAATCCGTTCCTGGAAATTTAACCCCCTCCCCCAGACAGTGTCAATCAGCATATCAGAAACATCGCATCCCGTCTAATCCGCCCTCGTTGCTGATTGAAATAAAGATGACCGCGAGATATACTAAAAAGTGATGATGATGATAGTGAAAATGATACTGGCACAACTATTATTTAAATAGGCAAATGTTAGTATCATTGGAGTACTATCAATGGGTATTTTCTCCACTCTTGTTTATAAATATTTTATATATTTCCTTTCTCATTGTTACATGTTACCTATTTGAAGGTAGTTGTAATGTACTACAAGTAAATATAAAAAAAAGAGTTTACACAAGCGGTGTCGTTTTATTTTTCGTGTTTCCCCCTTGAAAACGACCCGTCAACTTGGCCGCGTAAAACTTCTAAATGAAATTTTGGCACATTCCAAACATCGCCCACTCCAACATTGTGTGTCGTGTGAATGCGACAGATATTTCATATCAGCTCTTCCCGGATGGGGAACGCGTTAAAATTATTCAATGGAAATTCTATTATCAAGGGTAAATTGATAACGACAACATTAAAATTGCGAAAGCTCTGCCGTGAGCCTAAGAATAAAGCAATTAAATTAAACAATAACGTTCTTCCTGTTATGCTGCCCGCTCGATAAAAGCATGAATTGAAAGTAATCCTACCGGAATAGTTAACCGCCGTTTCATAAGATGTAATCTGTTCTGCTAAATATTGTTCCATTCTGAGAGATATTATTTCAATTGTTTGTGATATCTGCGCGTTTCATGCGGATTTAATTCAACCACTCCTTTCCTGACTGAATAAACCAAAATATTTTCAAAATATATTCTTTCAACTCACAGTTTCTTTAGTTATCAGAAGGAAGCACTGTTTTTTTAACAGAAATTTTATTTACAAATGTATACATTATACACTATTAAATCCATTAGATTTCGTGGTCTGATTGACCAAATAACATCTTTCAATTAATTAATCTTTGTGAAAGGTATTGGTTGAGATAAAAATTTCAATGTCACGAGCAGGATTCGAACCCACGACCTTCGGCTAAATACGCCGCTGCTCTACCACTTGAGCTATCGTAACTTCGATCAACTCGGACACTGACTTTTTTATCTCAACCCAACCTTTCAAATTTTCCCTCCTTTTTGCCATTTTTCAAAAATTCGATAGGCTGGGTTGAGATGGGAGGTTGGTATCCGAGTGGATCGAAGTCACGATAGCTCAAATGGTAGAGTCGCGGTGTATTTAGCCGAATGTGGTTCGAATCCCGCTCGTGACACTGACATTTTTATCTCAACCAATACCTTTCACAAAGATTAATTAATTGAAAGATGTTATTTGGCCAATCGGACCACGAAATCTAATGGATTATGAAAGAATGTTGCCCTTCAGGTAAAAACGTTTCCCCCAAAAATATATACCAATTGAAATATCTTAAGGTAGACATTTGGAGTTAAAAGGGTCCAGATGATAAAAAACTTTTAGCAAATAGACAAAAACAACTGGTCTTGGATCATTTTACGATTTTGCTTAATAGTTTTTTTTTCTTCCAGGGTGCCGACGAGGAAGTGAAAGAGCTTGAGCATCTGAAAAACGGTAAGCCGATTTTTATCTCGGGCTTTTATTCACACTTTGCATGGCGCGCACAATTTATTATCTTTTGTATCCTTGCCGCTACATTAAACAACACTTTAGAAAAAGCATCAAACGTTCTCTCGCAGAAATTGATCGAGTTTCCGTTTTTTATGCTTACTTATCCAACCTTTTAAAAAACGGCAAAAATCGTAAAAATTCAATACAAACTAATATGCAAAATTAATATTGAAATCGTTGTCATTAAGACAATTTAATTTAATTGTACCGTAGATAAAAAAGTCAGTGTCACGAGCGGGATTCGAACCCACTACCTTCGGCTTGATACGCCGCTACTCTACCACTTGGGCTATCGTGACCTCGTGGTCGTGTGTTCGATTCCCGCTCGTGACACTGACTGTTTTATCTCAACTAAAAACCGTAATTAATTGAATGATATTAATTGGTCAAGCGGACCACGAAAAATAGTAAATTTGTTGAAATGAAAGTTGACAAAGTTGAAAACAGGTTTAATTTTCCGTTTGTTATTGGTTCTTTGTTTAACGCAACGTCACAATTCAAATTATAATCCTGTCCAATAATTTCTCAATTGATTGGTTACTTTTTTTACGTAAAATCCAAACATTTTTTTTTATTTGTGTAGTATGCGTACGTTTATTGTATTTTGGACGTTCCTTCCAGGTAGATTTCAGTTTTTAACCACTGATGATTTACAAATACAAAAACCGTACAAAAGAAAATATAATTAGTTTTTGCTGTATTAAAGGTATGCTCGGGTAATTCTACGAAATGGTTCAGCGGAACGGAAGGCTGTTGGAAATTAACATGTTTCTCCCGGTCTCATACGGATAAACCCATGTCCTCTGAACCAAAATTGATTTGGATGGTTATCGTATTGCAATGATGCCGGATTAATTAGACATCAGCATAACAAGCAAACAATTTGCAACAACTAGCTTAAGCGTCGTCATCAGGGGCGAGTATTTATTGAAACATTATCACTGTCCAAACTCCTTCCTTAGACTGAAGAGAAATAAATAAAAAACTGGCGTAATGTTGCAGCGAAGTTGTGTTTCATGTTGGGTGGGTGCGAACATATAAAAAAATGGAGGATTTTCACTATGGAAATAATTTTTCTTCCCTCAATTATTTTATCGCTTAAAAACGTTAAAACGTTAAATGTTAAATAAACATGGTTCTATCATTTTTTATACATTTAATTTAAATATTGTTATAATTTCATTAAAATGAATGTGTACTTTATAATTTGCAAAAGAAATTCGTTGTTATTACTGCTATAAACTTTCACACTATGCTTGAAATTTGCAGCAACTACCATTATTGCTAGAATAACAATATTATTTATGTAACTTTCAACAATATCTTATCTTTATCTTGTTTGCATCCCAGTTCGTCAGATAATATTTAGAAATGCATGCGTATGTGTGCGCGCGAAAGAGAAATAGAGAAAGGGGGAGAAAGGGATGGAGAGAGCGAAAAACAGAAAAGAAACCGAGAGAGAGAGAGAGAGAGAGAGAGAGAGAGAGAGAGAGAGAGTGAGTGAGAGTGGATAGAAAGACTGCTTAACTTAAAATGGAAAAACGAAAAACACGCGCACAAAAACACCTAAAAGTGAAATAATATGATTAACAAATAAAAGAAAACTGTATAAATAAAAGATGACAATTAGTAAAACAATAATTAATTAAAAACCCATATCAACTCACATATCGACACCAATGGGAAAAGTGACACAATTCAACAAAAGAAAATTTTACAGGAGAGACAAATGAAAATTTACTCCTTTTATCCATTTACGTTTTCGTAGTCAATTGACCAAGTTACATCTTTCAATTAATAAATTATTCTTTCTAAGGTCTTGGTTGAGATAAAAAAAGTGTCACGAGCGGGATTCGAACCCACGATCCTCGGTTAAATACGCCGCCACTCTACCACTTGAGCTATCGTGACTTGAAAATGGCAAAAAGGGAGAAATTTCGAACTGTTGTAGGTTGAGGTGTCCTCATGAATCGAAGCCACGATAGCGGTGTATTTAGCCGAACGTGGTTCGAATCCCGCTCGTGACACTGACTTTTTTTATCTCAACCAAGACCTTAGAAAGAATAATTAATTTTTTGTTTTATATATTAAGTCCACGCTACTATGGTTGTTGGCAATAGAAACTGTCATGATCCATCAACATTTTATTTTGTTTCTCCAATACTTATGTGAAAACACAAAACTTTAAAAATCCAGCTTTACTACCCCAAAAAACTACCGCTTTTTGAATTGTGGCACTTTTCTTGCGTATATTGGCTCTTAGTAATTTAAGTTAGTTTGTTTGCTCTAACGATAATGGTGATAACGAACAAATGAATGATTGTAAGAGTATTAATTTTTTGTGATATTAGCAGACAACATACACACTTAACAAACAAGCATAAAAATCCCTTACAAAAAACATATTTGTACAATTCATTTAACAATTCTTTTTCATAATGTGAAATTAATATCGGCCCTGATGATGACCTTTAAATAGGTCGAAAACGGGGTAGTAACAACTGAATTTGCTTTCTTCTTCAAGACATTGATCAGAGAGTTCACGAGTGAAAAACAGGTCGATACTTCTAACATTGAAAACTAAAATAATTTGAAAATTTGTACTACTTTGCTCCTACAATGAAGAGGAGAAAAGAAGCATAAAAACGACGAATGATATCAGATTCAATTAAGAATATGCAATCTTCTTTTTTCCTATAAAATATATCTGTGGTAATCCAGTATTTACAATATTTCGATTTTCTGTAACATTTTTGTCCGCAAATTTCTAGCCGAGCATTCCTGCTTCCCAGATTTCTAAATGAAATCTATATAGCCAGAACTATCAGCACTATATGTTATATTTTTCTTCTCATTGGCCGCTATGAAAGTGCATCGAGAAGATCCAATATCCGTAACACTTTGCCCTAAACCCAAAAAGGTGGAATTTGAAAAGCTTCATTATCAATGGTTGGTTCACGTGATGTAAAAGTTATTTTTAAAAATATTATATATAGTTTTATTTTATGTATGTATATATAACGTCCCAACCTAAGTCAACCTTGCGCGATGGCAATGCCGTAATCAATGAAGTTCTGCTCGTTGAAAACTATAACTATANTATATATATATAGCAAATAAATTTTAAATCATGAATGTATCAATCCTCGAAGTTGCGATCCCTGGACAAGCAGGAGTATTATATTAACATGTGTAGGTTTTTGTAACAACAGTAAATAATTTAGGAGCAGCATAAAATCCTTCACTAAACAAGAAGAAAACTGACCTAACTAGAAATGTAGCAGTTTTTTATTACAAATACTTACACCCATGCTTATAAATTTGGAGACATAGATGTCCCACTTTTCGCGATTGGAGACAGTGCGTTCTCACCAAATCAAAAGTGACACATGGTGCTACACGGCACCTAACAGTCCACTTACAGTGATGTCACATGAATCACATACCCGAAAAAAAATATATATATTCCGGTTTTTATCATTTTTCGACTTGTCACTTTTCTTGTGGTTGTGCAATGCAGACATGTAAGACTTGCAAGACCTACCCGTCGTGATGGTTTAGCAGGACACTGAACTGTCAAAGCAAGACCAATTTTTATTTCCTAATGAATTTCTATTTTTGTAAGATCTAATAATCCGATTTAACTTCCAATCGCAAGCCGCGACAAACGCCTACTTGTTTTTATTATTGGACTGGGCCACCTTGGTTGACCTGATCATTGAAGTTTAACTCCGAAGCTATCTTAAACCAGGCATTGCAGCCCAAAACGCACGCGTTTTCTATACTTAAAAACTTAGTTTCATTCCAAAGTATGTTTTTCTATTTAAATACTATTTACTATAGCAGAATGGTCGAATACTCGATCACCCTTTAAACATACTACACTGAGAGGCAAAAGGGGTAGAAAAACTCGTTTTGTGATTAAATATATGCACTCTTTATAATGTTTATTTTTTTTTGTTTACTGGATATTTTTCAGGAAAAATATGACATGACAATATAAAAAATTAAACTGAGTAAAACAATTTTACCTCAAATGTTTCTATGGAAGCAATGAAGAAATATTCAATTCAGTATTGATTATTTCGCCCTCTTGGGTTGATTACCGCTTGCATTTGACGTGGCATCGATTTTATGAGGTTTTATAAGGTAGTACTTTGGAATATTTTCATATTCCTCCAACAGCACCCTTCGTAAATCCTGGAAATTCTCCCATCATCAGTGGGCGACTTTTTACCCTCGTTGACAACTCATCTCATATATGTTCGATAGGGTTTAAGTAGTGACTACATGCTGGCCCTTCAAAACATTGAATTGAAGACCGTTGGGGACCGCGGTAGCCGAGTGGTTAGCATGAGAGACACTCACGCCGCGGTCGTGGGTTCGATTCCCACCGTCGCCTCTGGCCCTTTTTTCACAATAACCCCCCCCCCCCAAATTTGAACACACATATACGAATTGTCACATGGCTAACATGCATAGTTCATAACGCCAAAAAAATAAAAAATAAAAATAATA